GTATTCACCCAGGGAATCGCGACAACTAGATTACGTTTCACAGTTTACATCAGATATTCGCCATGTTTCCGGAGTGAACAACACTGTGGCAGATGCCTTGTCACGTATTTGTTCTTTCACCCAAATCGATGGCATAGACCTTGTAAAACTGGCTCGTCTTCAAAAAGAAGATATTGAGCTTCAGCGTGAGTTGTCGAAAACAACTCTACTACTAGCCAAGAAACCCTTAGGTATAGGAAAGGATACTATTCTGTGTGACATTTCCACTAGTACTCCTCGCCCCATCGTGCCTAAAAGTTATCGCCGTAACGTCTTCAATACGTTGCATGGCTTATCCCATCCAGGTATTCGAACTACTGTCAAACTCGTAACTAGTAGGTTTTGTTGGCCTGGTATTAACAAGGAAGTAAGGGAATGGGCACAGACGTGCTTAGCTTGCCAAAAGTGCAAGGTAATAAGACACACTAAAAGCCCCCTTGGCACTTTTCTTATCCCTGATGCCCGTTTCGAACACGTCCATGTAGATTTAGTTGGCCCCCTTCCAGAATCTCATGGATACACCTATATGTTAACCTGCATCGATCGCTTCACACGATGGCCTGAAGCAGTACCCATCAAGGATATATCTGCTGAAACTGTCGCACGCGTCTTTGTAGAGAGATGGATCGCAAACTTTGGATGCCCATCTTCCATAACAACTGATCGTGGGCGGCAATTCGAAAGCGGTTTATTCTTCGCTTTGACTAAAATCCTTGGTTGCATGCGTTTTCGAACGACAGCCTACCATCCTCAAGCGAATGGTATGGTAGAACGTCTACACAGACAGTTGAAAGCTGGTTTATCAGCTACAAATAACACCCACTGGACTGAATCCCTTCCGTTAGTTCTCCTAGGGATACGAAACGCCTTAAAAACCGATGCTGGTTGTACTACCTCTGAGCTAGTATATGGCACAACACTACGACTGCCAGGTGAGTTTGTTTCTCCCTCGAGCTTCCCACCAGTAGTAGATCACTCCTCATACGTCAGCAGGCTTACAAACGCTATGCGTTCAGTTAAACCTGCTCCCCTCCGACCACAGTCCATTGATATTTTTGTTCACCCTTGTTTAAAAACTTCTTCACATGTATTTGTTCGTCGCGACTCGGTACGTCGTCCTCTAGAACCCCCGTATGACGGACCATATAAAGTGATTAAACGTATGGATAAATTCTTCGTTTTAGACAAAAAAGGCCGCGAAGACACCGTCAGTATCGACCGTCTGAAACCAGCTTACTTGGAAGGTAACCCCATTAGCCTGGAGCTAAACGTACCCGATAATTCACAAGTTATTGAATCTACTTCAGTCTTCGAAGAACTCCCTAGCACGGCGAAAGCCACCGAAACTTCGGTCGATAACTCTAAGAAAACGCGTTCTGGACGTCACGTTAGATTTCCAGAATACCTTCACACCTATCTCACATAACTGAGTGACACATCAATTCTTTTTATGTTGCATCATTTAACACAAGTAAATGATATTTTTCCTATAACCGTACATAAAATTACTTAAGATGTATATATTTTTTCCCGATATTTTGAACTTTACATTATTTTACTGTATAGTAGATGCATGTCATATTTTTTTTTGGTAAAAAAACGCTTATTTGGTACATTTTTCTTGACAAGGTTCTCAGCATTCTTGTTTTCTTTTCCAGGTGCAACGGGCACTGGACAGGAGACAAACGAAGCACGGGATCCAACGAACAACACTGAGAAAGCTATGTACAGACACCCTATTAGCATAGGCAGACAGACCAGCAGGCTCTCAATCAAGCCGCTCGGAAGATTTTTTTCACCCATAAGGGAACCATCGAGATTTTTTTACTTCCGGCTGGTCATGTCTTAGGGTCCTCACAAACCCACTAGGGGGGGAGTGAGCTGTAGCGGTAAATAATTCCCCAAAATTATTAACCACAGCAATCATCACTCAACATTGGATGCTGACCATCACTGTTTAAGTCGACTTGTTTAGCTGAAGGCTTACGGTCAAGCATCCCCGCCATTTGGTGCTTCGTCGTGTCACGTGCGTGCACGATTACTAGCTAGCTAAGCATTCATTCCTACCCGCGATTTGGTCCCAAAATATATATCGTATTTGGACGACAAAATCTGGTCTTTTGCTTTACCATTTGGTACTCGAAGAACGAACACTATAGTGGTTGTTGGTATAAGATCTTGCGTTAGTATAATCCGTACAACTCGCGAACGTCGATACCGTCAATCCCTAAAACCTTGATATGATTATGAGCAATAAATTGTGCTCGAAACGTCATCAGTAAATATTACTGTATAACACTGTGAGACTCTATCAAAATAAAATTTACCCATAGTGTTATAAACTCTATTTTCAGTTAAATTCCACATTCAAACTCAACTTGTAAAATTTATTGGTTACACGTTCGATCTGCAACATTTGAAATATGCTTTATTTTAATAAGTTTATCATTTCCTTTTCACTCAAACGTTGTTATCTGATGGAAATCTGAAGCAACAAAAACCAGCGGGACATCATAGCGAAGTCATAATAAGCTGGTACGTGTGCAGATGCTTTCATAGTCCCGCCAAAAATCAAAGGATTATTTAGGGGTTGAGGTTCACGGATAGTGTAACAACAGAAGACAAGGGCCAGGCAACAGATCGTTTATTACGAAAAATCAACACGTATTTATAGATTTTTATGTACATTATTGTAGGTCAATGTTAGTAGAAAATACAGTCTGTTGATTGGTTGTTTCTCACACAAAGTTAACCTTGCATCTCTTGTGGCTGTGTCAGTTCATCTATATGTTAACTGTAACCGCCTGTCCACCTTGACCTTTGACCTCAATTACTGTCAACCAATTTGGCCAGCAACCATCTCTCACCACAACATGACTCATATTTGATACATAAACATTGACCTCAATTACTGTCCACCACTTGGCTAGTAGACAGCTCTCACCACAATAGTACGACTTATACTAAAGTAAGATCTAATACTCACAAATTCCATAGTATTCGTTCCCCGTAGACCAAAGGCAAGGCGAAACACCAGAATCGATCGTCCAAATCTAATGCGAGAATGACTGCTTAACCAGCTAGGGATCGTGCACGAACGAACGTAACATGACGGCGTGCCAGGTGGCGTGGATGCTTGATCGTGAGCCTTCATCTAAACAAGTCAACTTAAACAGTGAAGGTCGGCATCCGATGTTTAGCGATGAATGCTATAGCTAATAATTTTGGGGAATTATCAACCGCTACAATCGCTTTATTAAGAAGCAGATAGATGTAAGATAGAAGCATATTCTCCAAGACATCTTACGAATAGTTGGCTGGAACTCTTATAGGACTGATAAGTAGTCACTGATTCCATACTACGTTTATCACTCAATTACATTCATTAGCTACTTCACTTTTAGCTCTTCGCATATCACTATTGTAATATTCTGAATACATGACAGAACCAATTACTTTTAATCATACATTCTGTAGATAGCATCATTATTGCCTTAAATTTCATTTTAAAAAATTTCTATTCACTATCTGTGACCCGGAAACTTTTTCCAGTTAATAGTTAACCCTTTAACACGTTGAAACCGATAAATTCTTCCCAACTGGTTTACCATTACTGGACTTGATGACTGCAGTGAAGTGATAACATGGTTAGGAACTAGGCCTGTTTACCAGTGCTGGACTAGGAGTTAAATACTGTCACACGATAATACAATCATCCTAAATCAAGAGCAAACATGTTTCTGATCAATTTGCTGTTCTCAACGTACTCTATCGTCGGAAAACGACAACACACTTGACCAGCATTTAGAAGATTCACTTTTATTGGATTTAGTAAACAAAAAAGATAATTTGTCTACAGGAAATGAATATCACCTCTCCACCAACATTGCGATGGTACTTCGGAGGATATCTTGGTAACTAGGAGAAACTAGAGGTAGGCTAATAATGTATTTCATGACAACCTACAAAGAACAGATATCTAATTTTTAAACCCACACATACTACATACAAGATAAAAATCTTGAGATCGATTCTCGTCAAGAGTGGATATCCAGAAAGATAAGTACATAAAACATTAGTTACAACTTTCAGATGCAGCAATACTGTAAAAAGAAATTCGACTCAGTAAAGACGAGGCTTTTATAGCGTAAACTGACGAGATCTGTCAGAATTTTATTGGAAACAGCGACCATCTCATACTAATCATTCGAGGAATAAATGTCAGAAGGACAAAGCGGTGACCAATTTCTTGCGTGTTTAACAGTTTGTATGCTCGTATGAAACTAGAAACAATGAATGTACTCCGGAGCGAACTGTCTAACTTTCACAAGACAGTTCACCATGACCAGCAGAGAAAGAAATGATGAACATTTAAGTATTGTTACATCAGAATGACATAGGATCGTTGTAACCTTATTTTGCATGAAGACAACTATTATTTATTATGCACTAATTCACATTCGAATACCCAGATACTTCATTACTCAAACAGAATTCGGCATTTGCATGTTACACGATCTGAGACAGAAATTTACTACAGTTCTCTTAGGAAACCAGAAAAATTCAGGTCATTTGCTTGATACCACAAATGTCATTCGGGAAAGCAGGCTATGTAGAGATATACGATGTGGTGACTGATATGAACTGTTGGGAACCGCTAACATTAACCAGTTGTACTTGATGGCTAGAACCTGGTATTCTAAAGGTTGCACGGCCATCTCGCTAGACTGAGGCCAAATCAGACAGAACCTAAGGTGAGAAATCAGTCCAAACTACACGAATTCCCGAGAAGTGCTTAAGTGGACCAGTGATTAACAGAGTCGAAATAGTTATCTGATCAGTGGATAAGTTTTAAATACGCCTCCTTCAGTGAAGAAAGTTTAGACAATTAGACACGACAGGTATTCCAGTCAATTTGCGATCGATTCATACACTTCATTAATTACACAACATATCACGAGTTTAAGTGATAATATAACTTCATCGCATCCAACAACTCGAAACAACACGACAAACTATTCAATAATCTTTTGTGTATGAAAAGGTTAGCAACGCATTTCTCTTCTTAGAAAAACATTATTCATTTGTTTATTGGATAAACAAATCGCTGTGCATAGAATCATAGTGTTGAATTATAAGTGTGTGTGCTCTGTAAAATCAAAGTAGGCTTGGTTAATAGACACAAATAAGGGAAAATGAATATAGCTAAATATGGATCTGAACATAGTACAAGCGATATTAAAAGCAACAATACATGTGAAGGTAGAGACTTCTAATACCTTCATCGTCAATAAATAATCAACATACGCAAGATATAAACAAAAACAAAACCCGTAAAAAAAGCTTCTCCTCGAAAAGTAAAAATTGATTGATAATGTGCGCGCCTTCAGTTTCGGAGTTCAGCAAGTCTGAAATAATAATGAACAAGGATAAAAGTAAGTCAATTGATGGTAATCTGCTTAAAATAAGCAGAGGAATTAGTAACCGAAGAAACGCAAGTTTTTTTAAAAAAACAAAACAAAATTCACTTCGACTAAAAAGTTCTAGGGTGAGAGATGAGCGGACAGTAGAATGTTACACGTCATATTTTGTCATGATAATTACAGTTACCATCCAAACTAATTATATAATATACGGAAGAAGACAAACACTCGTGTTTTCTCAGCATACAGACTTCCGATTAAATGTGAAGATGTCGATTGTAATGTAGTCAGACATAAGACTATACTGGAATGTGAAGCTGAATATGTAAGTTAAAGTACCTTTAGGTCATTTATATAACGTACTCAACTGCCTACAATATCCAAGTTGTTTTTGGTCTATTATAAAAAGTAAGTTAATTACTTAATCATAACAACCTAACATTAAAAGCCATGATTAGGCCTAATTTGAAATGTAAACAGATCCAGCCTACTCTATTTTTTTTGAACATCTGGGTACTAAGACACAAATAATCTTCTAAATTTTTTTTTTTGATTACAGCTTGATGCCACACTGTATTTTCAGTACAAGTATGGAATTTTCAGCATGGATATCGGTAGCCCAAATTTACAGGCCGACCATAGATATCGGGTGTGCGTCGGCAGGGGATCGAACCCCGGACCATGTGCATGGTCGGCGAGAGTCCTAACCACTGTGCCACCGACGCAGCTGAGGCATCGTTGGAACTGTCTGGATAGATGATGGTGACGGGTGAGTCACGAATAAAAGTGGATTTCAATATGTACTTAATAAGCCAAACTGAGGAGAATTAACTGTTTACGGCTTTAGCTGATTGATAGATGCAAACTTATAGGCCTTGTACACAGTTGATCAAATAATACTGCTCAGTGCTTTTAAACAAGTGGACCCTTTATTGGATATATTAGTAAACAAGCTTTTGATGTTTAATGAGTTGGGAAGATTGAGAACTATGGAAATATTACCGTGTGAGAAAGTGAAGTTTAGCAACAGGAACCACTTGTAGGCATCTGGGATCCAAAGTGTTGGTGCTGTGGCGTCTCACCGATGATTTGAAATGTCAGTAGATCAGGGGACTAAAGAAGCTCGACTACTATTTATCACTTAAACTACTCTGATTACTTTATTTCCAGAAGTTCCAATATTTGACTTTTACTGAAAATAATAAAAACTAAAAGTGATGGAAACACAACACAGCTTATCACTATCGAAGGAAAACAAAATTTTGATAGCCTTCAGACAGACGCACAGAAATACATTTTTAAGTAAAGCGAGAACAACAGTTTTTGCAGAATAAAATGCTACCATTATTTATTTCGTTGGCTTCTCATCAGCTGCTTACAGGTCAAAGTCATTATTAATTATATCTACAGAAACAATTTTAACATACTTGCACAGAGTTCATTATATATATATATATATATATATATATATGTATATATATATATATATAATACTAAACACTATTCCTAACAATAATGATCATACACAATGGAAACTTTCGGTATTACGTAATCAGACGAAAAAGAGGTGAAAATATCCAGTTACCAGGGCAAAGAATGACTGATAACTGTTTCTTTCTGAACGCATAAATCAGGTTTCAGGCACTTGATGGAGATGGCTTTGGCAAACTTGAGGAGAATTGAACTCTTTCGACGTCCATCTTATGACCCGTGTCAAGGAGATGCCTGGCGATGGCACTGTTTAAAGCAAATGTTCCCTTTAGACATAAACTTTTTGGTACATGTTCAGAAAATCGCATATATATATATATATATTACTGCATGCATATATTGATTGATTGCTTTTTGTTTAAAATGAACTCTGTGCAAGTATGTTAAAATTGTTTCTGTAGATATATTTAATAATGACTTTGACCTGTAAGCAGCTGATATAATAAGCCAACGAAATAAATAATGGTAGCATTTTATTCTGCAAAAACTGTTGTTCTTGCTTCATTCAAATTCATTAAGGGGAATAAATGTATGAAATACATTTTTAATTCACTAGACCTTTAAACTAATACAGTACTAAGTCTCTTGCTGAAAATAATTAACAGAAGAATCAACGTCGTGGAAATTCACAACCGCTCAACTACACAAACAAATAACAAGATTAGGATAAAGAGTTGCCATATGTTGTAATAAATCATTCAACCAATAAAGAAACTCAATTGCTTAAGTTATTAAACCGATACAGAATTACGGTGTCTATATCTGTATGCTTTCTTTCTATATTCTGTTGTACAATCCCTTTATTATAACACCTAGCAGTTGAATTCACATTCTAACTACAGTTCAGCATGTTAACCAAGGAAAGAAATCCTTAAATTCAAATATACAATTATTTGGAGTTCGTCACCGATACTTCCCAACAATATGTTTTATGATAACGTAAAAGTTCAACTTCTCTCACAATAACAGCACATTCGGCAGATGAGTGTGTTTTCTCTTTTAAGTGACTGAAACCTGAATTTTTAAAAATCAGGTTTTTTATGGCTATAATTAACAGTGCTGGTTAACACTCTATCAGTTGATCAAAAGAAACTAAGATGATATAGCTCTATTTAACAACTAGATTTCTAGTTAATCAGTGTTTCACTACTAAGATTATTATCGTTACATGGAGCCAATCCTGTCAATTTTCATACATAAAAAAAATACTCTACCCTTGCATTAGACGTAGAAAGGTACTCGTAGCCTATAGATATTGTTCCGATTACATAAAACACACAGTGACACTGTATCATTTTAATATGAATGAATTGTATTCAAAAGGTGCTTTATAGAATAATTCAGCTAACATTTGGTGCACTTCACACCACAATGTTCAAGTTTTAGTCATATCTATTTCCCTTTAAAAATGATGAGTTGATCAATTAAAATTCTGCACAATGTCAACTGAAAAATCAAAGATTACATGTTATATAACAACTGAAGGCTTTAAATGACTTATGTGACTGTGAAAATGATATGTACACAATCATTGCTCCAGGTACATAGACTGATGAGGAAACAAAATCAGCAGCAGGTCGGGTGTGAGGACAAATACTCGCCAGAGAAGACATTGGCTAGGGGTCGCGCTATGTCGTGAATTGGCAGAAGTTAGAATTCATGGGCCATTGGATCAGGTCCCAGTAGCTTAATGGTCTACGAGCTCGCCTTGTAACCAGAAGGTCCTGGGTTCAAATCCCGGTGGGTGCGTACCGCCGAAGAGTCCCAAACTAGGACGAAACAGCTGTCCAGTACTCCCAGGTTTCCCAATGGTTCTCTAACTAATGTCAGCTTATGATGAAAACCCTGTAAAAAATCAGCTTCTAATCGACTACCTAAAACGCTTGTAATGGAGATGAAGTAGTGAATAGGCAGTTATTTCCACCTTTCATTCATTCAGGCAATAATAACTTGACAGTATTACACTAACTAAAAAATAAACAATAAAAGTAACTAACAATTGGATACTTTATATAACTATTTTCCTAATTATTTTGCTGAAAGGCAGTCGTCAGTCAGTACTACATATCGTTGACCTGGTTGACTAATTCTGACGATGGTACAGTGATCTTAAATCACGATTATCGACTCCTTTACATCTAATAGATTTGTAATGAATACAGTACAACATATATGTACTTATTTTTAACTGAACAAGTGAGACGAATTGAAAAAAAGTATAATATTATATGTAGAGAAAGAAAGAAAAGTTGAATGGTGGTGATGATGATAATTCACAAACAAACAAACACACATACATACATACAATGAGACAAACAGAACAACAGTTATGATAATGACGATTGGTTAAACAATGTCATGTGAACACGATCACGATTAAAATAAAAAAATATACAAATATTACTTAGCTTTCCCTAGTTGAGAAATGACTAAAAGACAGTCAAACGAAATGGCAAAAGGAAAATACTCTAAATGCGATGCTGGTTGAGAAGCTTCATACTTTAGAATATAGTTAGTTAGCATGACGACAGTAAAGCACACCACCACCACCACACGCGCACATACAGACATGTAGAGTGTTAGAACCAAGAGCAGTATACACAATAGTTAATACTATTGTTACTCAAATTCTCATTGTGATGATTCTTACCCAATTAGGCTGTTTATTAAAACGTTCATAAACAACAAATTGATCACGTTATTTAAATCATCCCACTTTAGAATACTCACGTTTTTTAGTAAGAAAATAAAGAACTTAATTTATCTTTCTACATTGAGGATATATACATAAAGAGGTAATCAGACGAAAGGACTGATAGCATATTTGATCACGGTTATCAACCGATTCACAAAGTATAACAAAATATACGAGTCACAACATATAGGATAAGCATGACTGAACTTTGTACAAAAGTGCAGCACCTGAAGTTGCCACATTTCCAGAAGGCACATAAACGTAGGGAAAAGAAATGTAATGAAACTACAATCCATGAATACGTACGGGAAAGTCGTCCAATCGGTAACCAGATATCAAGCCTGCTACAAAGATGAAGCGAAACGCGAAACGAATACTGTGTATCCGTAGTAGTAAGGCTTGTCAACTGCAATGACATGCTGCTTGAGATGAATGTTCAGTGAGGTTCTAACAAAGAAGGAGGAGTCGATGAATAGAACTTAGACTAAAAGTATCTACCCCATAATACACGTTAATATTATGATAATGGTATACAAATAAATTCGTCCGGCAGCTGATTCATTTTTTCAGTTTCCATTTACACACCAATCAACAGTACTTCAGAAGATGTAAACTATGAGTTTCATTAGATGAACACCAATCCAGTTCATGAGCACATATTTGCGCATGAGACTGAAGGGATATGGTAGTTGCAAAGTCTTCAAGTGTCCACTTCCTCAATGATTATAGGAGGTATGTATTTAGGAAGGTGATAAGCAAACAATGAACTGAACATAAATGATACTCATGCTGAAGAATTTTGGCACCACATCTAGCCTGTAAACTAGACAACTTTCAGTCAAATCTTCGCAAATGTCCATGAATTTCCCTATAAATCAATGGACGCAGACTGATTTTGGTTGGCTTTGAGAATGCTCAAACAGCGAAATCTGTTCAGGCATAATCTAAATAAAAGTGTTTGCAATGAAGGCGACCAATGACAGGCGAAGAAAGAGGAAGAAATACAAAATGCATCAATAAAGGGTAATTTCCATCAGCAACTTAAGACTTTTAAAAAAACAGTCTTGGAAAAGTTCCTGAACTTCGGAAACTTTTTCAAAGAGACAGCTGAATGTTGAAAGGAACACTATAAGAAACAGTTCTACTGACCTGTTGCTGCATTACAGTTATCAACCCCCCCCCCCAACCTTAGGTTGAGTAGTGTGTCCATCAACTTTAAACGAAGTTACGAAAGCTGTTTTGATGTAAAATGATGAAAGCTATGCGATTCAGAAGATCAGCATTGTACATTTACCAATTTGCATTACTTTCAGCGCCCGCTATCTATCAAAGGATGAGTTTACTGTGTACCAGTCGGCCTAGTCCTCCTTCACTGTTGTGAGACATGGCCGTTGACAGTGGAAGAAGTGAAGACCAACTGTTTTTGATAATAGGTTTCTGATCTTAAGTGTTGCAATATGCTAAGTAATAATAAGGCTAAGCGTAGTGTTAAGTAATGAGAGAAAGTCAATTGATGAGAGTATGCGGTTACATCGAATGAAATGCTTCAGACGACTGTTAAGTCTGATCCCCAACTTCCTTGATGAGCAACAGTATCTGACATAGGATTAAGTTAGAAGTATTACCAGTGGTCGGATGGAAACATGAAATCTTGGACTGCTACTTTGAGGTACATGAGCAAGTGTGGACTACCTGCGTGGGGTTCTTGGGACCCTAAGAACCAATGGTAGAAAACTTTTGGTGACATGATCGAAAGTCGTTCACAACGGCGCAGAAGTATTAACTTCTAGTTTTCATCCACATTTTGAAAATCCTCGCTAATATTCAGCCATCTAATCTCTTGTACATTTTCGTCTATTGTAGTTTAACCATTTTTCGGTATTTTTATGTGTTTCGCGAGGCTTGACGAACAACTGTATAAATTTCTACGTCAATCACTAAAGTAATTCAATCTCAACTTGACAATTTAATGTATGGAATACATACTGACTACACGAAGTTGCACAGTAATACAGAGTAATAAGATGAGCTTATACAGAATAGTTGGGAAATCTCATCGCAAACTCGCAGAAGTCAGAAAGCATGACCAAATAGACGCATACTTGACCTGTCACCTGCGTGTACGGCACGAACCATTGCAACATCACTGATGTGTGGTGCAAATGAATCCCAAGCTTACACAACACGGCTGCCCCGTGCTTCCTGATTGTTTGCGCTTTTTCGTTGATCTTAGCTTATGATGAAATCCATCTTAAAACCTAATCATGCAGCTAACTGCATGCTATCCTAAAAACAATACAAACAATTCAAGATATGCAAATAATCGGCTAGATGGATGCAAAGACTATTTTTTTAAAAGACTTATATTATTAAAAGACATAACCGTTTTCGGGAATAACTTTGTAGACAAAACTTATTCCCAGTACTAAAGAACACTTCTGAATGCAACGCTTGTTTATAGGTAGCATAGTTAAGTCATTTAGAATAAGTAAAACACTTAACAGAGTCAAACACTAAATTAAGTTGATTCCGTCAACAAAATAACCGATGGATAGTAAAATGTACTCTAGGAGGAGGTGGTGGATGCACTCCTGCCACCGGATCAATTAAAACTTTCATATGCATCGGAACTAACAATAGTCGTATTTCTTGATATTAGGTTTACCTTACATTGGCTGGAACTGATTGCTTTTTGGAATCGTTTGTTCGAGTGTAGTGAACATAAGAATTGTATTACCACCTAAACTAATATACCTTCTTAGGATAGATCTAGAGTGTTTGAAATAGTGTGTAGCTCCTATCTGGAAGATCTTTTGATCTTGAACGTGCAGATGTCATTATACTGTGAAACAAAGTAAGTGCCACACAGGACTCTTTTTAATCGGCCGCTAGTCTGTATGTGTATGTATCACATACTACATAATCGAGGGTAAGGGAAATATAAAAATTTTTGGTAAGAAAACGCAACGAACTGTGTTTTTAGTGAAAGTCAAAAATGCATGAATAAATTTCTCATAATTCGGAAGGTGTAGTCTGACTTTTAAAAGATAATTTTCAGTGAAGGCAGTTCTACTTCACAACTGTGAAACGAGACCATTACAATCCAAGGATGTCCACGTTTCAATACCAATGTTCATTTAAGACTATCTGAATATCGTGACGACAATATTTGATTAGGAATTTTAGTGACATGTAATTTGACATATCTAGCAAACCACGGCTATGATGCACCTTACAAATGTCATCCAATGGCTTCTATGCTACTCACAGTTCTACAAATTCTGGAACACGAGTATACAACTGTCTGACACCCGTTACTGTGATGATAACCCATTATAACAGGAAGTATTTGGTCAGTGTCTGGACAGAAATGGATTGCCCGAAAATTTCATTATAATTACATACTTGCTTTTCTCTCACCTGCAAGTATCGCAATAATTTCACCTTAACAAGCATCCAGTTGACTTGATGGTACCACCGGTGAAAAAAATATGTGTTTGCGTTGTTTCCAGTCCTGAAATTCAGCACTGTCTGGATTTTCTTATACTAATTACCAAGAGAACTGTTTACAGTGTACACCTTCCAATGAAATAATTTATTTTCTGCAATGACAACAACTTTGAGATATTTTGTAGGAACCACTTTGAAAAGAGAAACTGCTCGAAAGCCTGGGGATTAGTTTCAGTTGAATCGGGTGCTGGATTTAGATGAGGGAAAATGACTAGTCTGACGTTAATATATTAAGGTTCTTGATACACATCGAATGACTACAGAATGTAAACACAACGTGAGATCTTTTAATATAAGGCATAAAAACTCACACTTTTGTGGTAATTGTTAATTAGAATAATAAAACAATTGCCGATCCACATACTAAACTTAACTTAGTAAACCCTAATAGAAGTCTAACTTACATACATTAGCAAGTATCACTGTAATTATTCACGAAATTTGAAAGCTAAGCTTAAAACTTTACTTTGCAATAACAATTATCGGTTACATAAAGAACTAACCGTCTGGTAAGTGCATCATCTTCGACATCCCTAGTCGAATCAGAAGCAACTGACAAAGACCCTGAAACAATAGGGGCGCCGGCGATTGCTTGCGACACTTCAAGACCATTCTCTTCTGCAACCTACAAAAACATCAAAAGAATTTACACCACATGAAAGACTGATTACTGCTTACAGAGAAAACGAATACAAAAAGTATTTAACGCGAATGGTCATTGGATGGAAAGTCAAGACCACAAAACGGTTGTTTTCTCTTAGTTTAGAACTCTTTAGTAGTGCATATTTAAGAGCGATGCGTGAAACTGTGATTTCTGATAAAAATGTGACTAAAACTGAAATCAGCGTTTAAGCCATCAAGTGTTCAGGTAGAGTTTGTCTCATTATGTTTGTGTCTCCATATGGACAGGATAATTTCATTTAAAAATTCTGTCTTGTGCAATCAATCAGAACAAGTTACTTTTCTTCTGATCTACCGCAATTTTGCGCGAAAAAATGTACCATGCATTTTGTCGAGTGAATTCATCCTCACAGTCAGCTATCTGATATTTTCCGGATTCAGTGAAGCATAAGGTATTGCAGGGGAAAAGTTGCATTTGATAGACAGTTGATGCGTATCACTGAGTACATTTAAATCGCATTTCACTCGGTTACTTTGCTTCTTAATCTCAGTCACATATATTTTTAGTTCTTCAAATATTAACACTATGTTAAATAAATGTGGTTTGATTAATGGCTAAACTGAACTAGTGATTCTGACAACCACATAACATATAGAAGTGACTTTTCTGGTTATTTTAATGAAACAACCTAGGAAATATAAGATTTTGCTGTTAAGAATTAGGTTTAACAGACTTTTGAAAATTAGCCTAATCAAACGACTGGAGTGTTTCTTCACATTTATAGACCGTTTGAGAGTTTACTTAACAAAAGAGATCAAAACGCACAATCTAAATGATCGATTTCAAGCCCGAGTCGTTCATCTGAAGTACCCTACTGTTGGATGTTCTAATTTCATTTTAAAATCGTAGGCCTGTATTGCGCCACATTAATCTAACTGCTGGGTTTTATTGTCATACGAATGCTCTAAAATAAGATCAACTGGAGTAACTCAACCTCAAACAGCAATTCAAATGGTATAATATGATTGCTGATAAACTTTACTGCTTTAGATTAAAAAGATAACTAACTGAACTAAGCAGAAAAACACCTTCCATTCGCACAGAATTTAAATATGACTAACTTATTAAGGTGACCAAACCTTTAAATTCTTTTATGCAGACAATTCATGCCTAGTGAACATTATCTTCAGACGTAAAGAGAAATTTAATCCGCCATTAGTTCGGTACGACTTAAAGATATATATATATATATATCGTCTTACCGTGGCGCTCAAAACGCAACAGATTTACTTGCAGCTAGTGACGTCACCAGGTAATTCTTATGTCAGATAGTGTGTTCGATCAGGATGGAGATCGTCTTTCAGAAATTGACGACAGTTTGGTACGAGCCCGGTTGCTTGTATATATCCAACGAAAATCATCGCAGCGGCTTCTACATAGTTCATTCTTTGTCTTGGAACCAGATGCATATAGTCAACAATCATTCCATCACGTTGATGACAGATATTTGAATTAAGTTTACATCCGTTGGTGAACCAAGACTTTCTAGCTGGGGACTGTGAAGCTACGAGACTCGCTGGCTCCAGATGTTAACAAATATGGTTCATTTCCATTATGGATAAAATTTATTTTGATCAAGGGTACTTTGATACGATTATGAGCAATAAATTTTGCTCGAAACGTCATCAGTAAATATTACTGTATAACACTGTGTGGCTTTATCAAAATTTTTTATCTATAATGCAATTATACTCTACCACAGTGCCCATGTTTTATCCTTGTAGCAAATATGTTTCAAAATAGAAATTAATGGAGAACATGCTGCAATTTTCTATCTTTTCCTCTTTTTGGATGTAGTACGTAGTCATGAACGCTGAATTCTCTTGATAAGCATTTTTACATATTTTCAATATATTGTTTTCACCTCCTTTTTCTGATACAACCGGCAAGTATGTTTCCAATAAACACCTAGTAGATATACAAAGGTTTCTACCCAAACTATCACAGTAATGCAGCTAAACAGCATTTTACTACGTGGTACATCTGGGTTAAGTACTAAAAGCAGCTTCTTCGGGAAACCGCTTGCTTTAGTGTCTGGAAATAACCACAAGCTAAATGAATGAAGATTGAGGCACCATGTTTTTCTTATCTTCCAAGTCTTTTTCGCTAATTTTTTTTATTCCTGTACGTTCCCAGTGGAACATAGAGCTCCAAGCTAGAAACTTGAAGTTTCGGTAGCAGTGGAGTTTCTTTTTACGGGATGGGGTTGCTAGCCTCATACCCAACCTTCGCTCTTTACCAGTCTTATTACTAGTTTAGCTAGGTAAAGAAGTGAGTCAGCCAGGGATCAAACCCCGGACCACATGCGCGGTCGGCGAGCATCCTACCGCTGTGCCGCCGACGCACTTATTTCTGCTTATGGAGACGACTAACACAATGATTGATTATATGTTCAAAACATACAGACGTATATAAAATTCTAGACATTTGAATCACGTTAAAACTTAAGTTGTTTATTTAACCATTGTCAGCACTAGAATTCATGGTTGAAAACTCCATCCTACAATTTTTCATATGACTATAGTTCAGTCCCTGTTAATCAACACTCCTATTGATGAACGCATCTTGTAATCATCGTACATACGATAAAACAGTATCAAACAGGCTGAAAAAATGAAATGAAACAAAACTTGAATACCACTTGCAGTGCGATGTAGTTGATAATGAGCCACACTTATTATGTGATTACAAGGATGTCCAAATCTCAGCAGGTGAAGCGTGGTTGAACCTACAACCCAATAGCCAGACATATAAGCAACTTGTAACCTGGTAATTGGTACTCAACTATTGTGCCACAATTCTAACGTTTAACACAATACACTCAGTTGGTAAGCTGCCAAATTAAGCACACAATAAGTATTTTGTGAGATTAAAAACAGTAAAAGGGTGTTGACGGGCACCTAAACCAAAATCCGGAACCCAAAATCGTTAAAGAACTTTGACTAAAGATTGAAATCATGATACACAGTCATACTGGGATTATTCAGAAACACTTAAAAAATTACAGCGAATGTTCCAAACAAAAGCCTTTAAATGGACTGACATAAGAACCGCTTACAAGAGCAGCCTCTTGTGGCTGAAGTCTGACTTCAAAAATATATGCGATAAGAACCATACAGATAAACGTGATGTATGTTTGTTACTTTTCTCAATCCACGACAACCGCGGAATTCTCTTTGTAGTATAAGTTTGACAGAGTTACTATTTACAAAATCCGATACTGAAGAGTTTCAGCTTACTACTTTGTTAAAATGATTAGCGCTAAGTTCAGAACAGCCTAATTTTGTTTTTCAATCAATTAGAAATACATCACTGCTATACAGCAAGACTACTGATGTTTGGAAATTCACCATCTAAATCGCAACTCAAAAAGCGATCTATTTTAGGGTAAAAGACGATAAAAGCGTAACAATTAATTAGCTGAGGAAGTAACAGTATATTCTTCTTCTTTTCTCTTCTTTACTTCGGCTATCTCCTACGGGAGGATGAGCCGGCTTCATGAACATCTCGAATCATCGCTGTTCAGGTGCGGCGATCTGATGCAAGGTTTTGCGACAGGGTTATCCAATTCTTGTTCCACAGACGGAGTCCGTAGACGGTTTGTAGCCCCAGGCACTCCATATCAGCCTTGACTGTACCAAGCCATGTTTTCAGCTGTCCACCCGTGCGACATCGCCAAGATGGTAATGACGAGTGATTTAGAACTGATTTGACCAGATCGTCATCTGGTCGGCGCAGAACATGGCCAAACCACCGAAGGCAACGTTGTAAGAGAGTTCATGAAGTTTCATGGGAATTTGGTACGAGTGATGTCCCCAGAATCGCTCGGCCTTTTGTTTGAGAGTGCAGCTCTAGCCTTTACACAACCAAGTGTGACCTACAAGGCAGTAGGAGTGCAGTAGGGAGTCCACTATCCATTGGCAACCGGTGACCGAAGTTCGGTTCATACGCCTTTTTGAATGGGGCCAGACATCCAACAAGCCCTTTGTCCATACGTCTGCCGGTGAGCTCCAGTGAGCTTCATACGCCAGTCGTTGGAGGTTTGGAATCAGGGTTTAGCCATCTCCCCTAGACTGTCATCCAATGGACAGTCAACCCGGTGAAGAGCGCTGGGCATCCGCTTTCGCCCTCTCACTTTGGTGAAAAACACCTCCGCCACGTGAAGGCAGTGAGTAGGACTTCTTCAGGAGAGGCTATGTAAGACGCCCGGTCATATGGGAGCATTTCAAGAGGTGTAAGGAGGGGTGGCCAACCCGCAGCGCAAGGCACCCACCCCCGACCATCCTGAGGCTTTAGTGATCCAAAACAATCTAAGTAATAACCTAAAGCTAAGCCATATGTTTGGAGTAATTTTCGTAATATTGCAGTTACTCCATTATGGATAAGATTTTATTTTGATAAATCACAGTGTTACACAGTAATATTAACTGATGACGTTTCGAGCACAAATTATTGCTCATAATCATAATCTACCACAGTGCCCAAGTTTTATACTTATGTCATTGCAGTAACAAGACAATTTATTTAGCGACGACTCCTCACACTAACAGTGCTCAAGGGAAGGCAAATCACACGAGTTCACACTGCAATAGTTCGAGAAACACACCGTCCGAATTAAACAATCGTGTATTACTAGTTACTGCAGTTACTATGAAATAGTCAATTTGAATCGAGACATCCTACACTTATACTATGAACATGATAATGACCTCAAAAAACTGTCTTACTATGCATTTAGGGAAAGGTCGAAATCGAACGGAAATAGCAATAAGAAATTATTCATTCCAACTCACTTGTTTTATCAATGCATTAATCTCTTGTTCGGGAGCTGAAAGTGTGAAAGTATTCTTCATTGAGTTTTCGATAGTAGCAGAGCGAACATCAAGGTCCTCAAACTGAGACTCGAATTTGCTCATAACCTTTTCAAGTTTTTCTAAATCCATGGTGCGCATTGCTTTCTCAAGCTCATTTGAAACAGAACCAATATTCTTAACAACCTATAAATGCATAAGCTTTATAACGTCAAGAAGGTACTTGGTTCATCGTAAGAGCAGTTTGAACTCGTGATTGTACGGCATCGAACCGAGAGGCCATCCGAAGATAGTTCAAAGACTCCTTCTGTTTTCTTACTGCATTTTCAGCGTATATTCTACCGCACTCAACATTACCAGATGTTAGAGCCTGAAAAAAATTACACCGTTACAAATTTTGTCACCTTTTTGAGCTTTTGCTTTTGTACCTCGCTATCCTTTGCAGCTTTTTCGGAAAAGCGAGTAACTTGCTTCGCTGCCATCTATGAACAATGCGAAAATATCACAAACATCGTACTCTTAGTTGTATTAAGGAATCCTGTAGCTTGTCTGAACTGCTGCTAAACATTACTTAGGCCTTAAAATTGTATTCTTTGTTTCGAACTGGCTACTACAGCTAGTAGTGATACAGTATTTGGCAGGGATAACTTTCTTCCTTGTTGGAATATTTCGATTTGCCTCCGTAGTGTTCTCATTCCAAAAGGGAGCCCTTGGACAAGTGGTGACTGTATGCTTTAAACGTTTTCGGAAGAAAGTATATTCACCCATAAAATAAAATTCTGTATGCTGAGACTTAAATTTCCTTAAGAATACATGCGACCCCATATACCAGATAGGTCTAGTAACTTTTTAACTGCTTTCAGAAGTATTAAAGCTCCTCTAAGTACTCTTCAGCATTGTAGTTGCGAACACAAAGTTTGTACTTTAATTAATGGTGTTCTTTTCACCTTGGTATAGAATTTTGTACCGATACAACCTTTCCTTCTTGATTTTCACCTGTAATACTGGGAATCAAGAAGCTTCTTCCGGAAGTAATACTGGAGTCAGACGTGAAGTCAATGAACAATGGATCAGTCATTAATTGTTTTCTCTCTTCATCCCTAGACTGTAAAAGACCAGTTATTGGGAGCAGAGCAGGAATATCCAAAATATTCTACCAGAATATAAGTACATATCTATCCTCATCTTGCAAGTATCTGGTAAGGCAACTGTCATTGTGCGTTGGAGGCACACAGGTTAGGACGCCCGCCGACCACGCACAAGGTCCGGGGTTCGATCCCCGGCCGACGCACACATGATATCAATGGTCGGCCTGCTAAATTTGGGCTACCGATATCAGATGCTGAAAATTCTATAGTTGTACGAAAAATACTGTGTGGAATCCAGCTAAAATGAAATATAAAATAAATAACGGTAGATAGCAATTAACTCCACAGTTGTGAAATTCCGGGAAAGTAGCATTCATACTCACAGTTCTTGCACCCCACCTTGTACTCAACGAATATCCATGCAAAGTTTGACTTTATGTTGAAAACTGAGGTTTCCCCACCAGACTGAGTGTTGGTTAGTAGTATGCTGCATCCCTATAATATCTCTTGTGGTAAATTAATCCACAGAGCTAATAACCTACAGTTGCATACACATTTGATGCACGCCGCTAACCTTTACTGTTTTAATGAAATGCCCATACAGACAGCACCAGGTCAAGGAACTTCATTCGGTTTAGTTGTATGTGAATGGTTCTCAAACTGTTTCGCATGCGCCTTGGCTTGACAGGACATTATTCAGAACATATATCTCGTTTTGGGTAACCTTGCCGCGTTTCGCCAAATATTTCCGACGTCGAACTGCGCGATTGCATATCCGTACCAGAAATGTGACAGCACTAATTGTCACCTACATGCATGCCCCTAGCCCGTCCATTTTTCTAGTCTGCGTATTCTTTTCCGAATCATTGATCATCTTCTACATAAATAAGGCTGACAGCTACTGGAAGATGGCTTGCAATCATAAATATGACAACTAATGGATAACAAAGCGTGAAATCCCAGAGAACACTGCCTGTCACCAGCGGTCATTTAGGACAACGATATCATTGCCTGAAACAGGTAGAGTAGATACGTAACCTTCTTATTATCAACCCTAATGGATTTCCGAACTTTCTTATCACAGTCAAAATTGTTCTGCCTCATTCTTGTCAAACCGAGCAGCTTAGATTCAATCGAATGAACAAACTTCCTTGATCCCTAGCGCAATTGTCGAGTAAATTTTAAACGCTTATCCCTTCTTAACGAATACAGAGTTTTCGTGAACACATTGTACCCTCTTCACTTTGAATTTAAATGGGAAACGGCATTGCCCTGCTTTTCACACCACCAACTGTTCCTCCAAAATACAATATTTTGTTTGCTTGCACAACCCGATGTCCTTCACTGATTAATTTAGCGTCAGCAGTCAGTTTCTAAAATTGCAGCAGTGAATCACGTCATAGATGTGGGACTAGTTTCACTGTTTTGTTATCCGCTTGGCCTCTAGACAAGTTGTAAAATTTAATAATAGTAATAATGTAGTCTCAATGTGATATTTCAAACTGACTCTATAGACTTTATCCTAACATGTAAGGATGCTGGACCTTCCAGCCACCACCTACTTCCTGCACATCAGTATTTTTGTGCTTAAACTAAAAATAATTGGCGCAAGCATTTATTTCAACAGATTTTCTACATTCATGGTTTGACTGACTGTCTTCACTTTCCCACTGTCCAATTTAGAAACTAAACGTTATAAAATTGGGGCATGAAGATATATTTAGACAGGCTGAATTGATCACATTTAATATATATTTTTATATTTAAGACAGCCGAGTATTATCTAACCAAATTCAACTTTAAAGGAATTTTCAAGAAACATTTAAACTTTTCCTCTAATTTTAGTTCACTTTCATTTGTATGATGTGAAGAGGATATGTGAAGATCAAGTTAAGCAGGCCCAAACAAGGTCAATCATTTATCCATCCATTACGTAAGCTAACCGGCTATTTAATGATGATAAACATCATTTCCAGTTAAGGTCAACAAAGTAAGGAGCCCAGAGGCCTTGAACTAGTGCAAGTAATTGGCCAACTAGGCATTCTATTACGTCGGGTGACTGGTTTCCGATGAAATTTGGAGGATTTTCAAAAGATAAAAAAGGCCGAAAACAGACGTGCACGTGTTTTATAATCACATCTGACCGCAATCAGTGTACTAGAATCCAACCACGTCTTCACGATCTCCAATGTACCAAACTCTTTGCCCGACAAGATACCGACAACATTCTTTAAAAATGCAAAAGAGAAGACTTAGGAAACTTATTTAGAGCAGAGTTGATTCCCAATAGAAAACAAGAGTTGCAACGTATATCAAGACAATCAAAAATCAGTGTTAAGTAGCACGTTGAGAGGTTGACGGTATGGACGTTCACGGATAGTATGAAGTATACTAACGCAAGATCGAATACCCACAAGTTCTATAATATTCGTTCCGCGTAGACCAAAGGCAAAGTAAAACACCAGAATTGATCGTCCAAATTACGAGTTATATTTCGGGACCAAATCGGAGTGCGAGATGACTACTTAGCTAGCTTGGGATCGTGCACGAACGGACGAACGTAACACAACAGCGTACCAAATGGGGTGGATGCTTGACCGGAAGCCTTCAGCTAAACAAGTTGACTTAAACAGTGAGGGTGAGCATCCATTGTTCACTGATGAATGCTGTGGCCAATAATTCTGGGGAGTTACTTATCGCTACAACTCACTCTTTCCTAGTGGGGTATTGAGGACCCTAAGACAAAACCAGTCGGAATTAAAAAACCTGATTGCTTTCCCATCGGTAAAAATTCTTCTGATCGGCTTCATGTAGTGCCTACTGGTCGTATACCTATGCTAATAAGGTGTCTGTACATCGCTTCGTTGATGTTTGTCCGTTGGATCTCGTGCTTCGTTTGCTTCTTGTCCAGTAGTCGTCACACCTGGAAAAGAAAACAAGCATGCTAAGAACCTTGTTGAGGAAGATGTACCAAAAGTAATTTTTGAAAAATGATATGCATCTAACATACAGAGAAATAATGTGAAGAGTAGAACATCGAAAAATAGTATATATCTAATTTTTTTAGAGGATGTTATAGAAAAGTTTTTACTTGTGTTGCGGTATGTAATATAAAAAAATCGATGAGTCTGAAAGAAAAATGATAAATAAATACCAAGCGAATAAGAATTGGGTGAATCGCATCACTTAGTTATTTGACATAAGTGTGAAGGTGTTCTGGGAATCACACTTTTCGTCCAGAACGCGTTTAATTCGAGGGCTCGACAAAAGGTTCGGTCGCCTTCACCGTGCTAGTGATTTCTTCGAGGACTAACGGATATTCGGAAACTTGTGTATCAGTGGGAATCTTCAGTTGGAGGTTCACGGGATTACCTTCTAAGTAGGCCGGTTTCAGACGGTCGATGCTGACGGTGTCTTCGCGGCCTTTTAGTCTAAGACAAAGAATTTACCCATACGTTTAATGACTTCATATGGTCCGTCGTATGGTGGTTCCAGAGGGCGACGCACAGAGTCACGACGAAAACGTACGTGTGAAGGAGTATCCAAACTCGGGTGAACAAAGACGTCTATGGAGTGTGGTTGCAGGGGAGCAGGTTTAACTGAACGCATTGCGTTTGTAAGCCTGCTGACGTATGTGGCGTGATCCACCGCTGGTGGGAAGCTAGAGTGAGAAACAAACTCACCTGGCAGTCGTAGTGTCGTGCCATATACTAGCTCGGGGCTAGTACAACCAGCATCAGTTTTCAAGGCATTTCGTATCCCTAGGAGAACTAGTGGTAGTGATTCAGTCCAATGTGCATTGTTTGCAGCTGATAAGCCAGCCTTCAATTGTCTGTGTAGACGCTCTATCATACCATTAGCTTCAGGATGGTAGGCTGTTGTTCTAAAACGCATGCAACCCATGATTTTAGTCAGGGCGAGGAATAAGCTGCTTTCGAATTGCCGCCCGTGATCAGTTGTTATAGAGGATGGGCATCCAAAATTTGCTATCCATCGTTCGACAAAGGCGCATGCGGCAGTTTCAACAGATACATCCTTGAGGCGTACTGTTTCAGGCCATCGTGTGAAACGGTCGATGCATGTTAATATATGGGCATATCCGCAGTGGTGAGGAAATACATAAATCCACTGTACCCGTTGTTTACACTCAGTGATGTAGGGGCCAACAAAGTAATGCATTTAAAGCATATGCATACGCGACACTCTGCGTAACATGTCAAAATCGTAGAGTAGTCAAACCCTACATGAGATGTGATTGACTAAATCCGAACAGCAAACAAGTTGTAGTCTATATTTGAATGTTCATCAATATGTCGATCATGATGACAGATCCAAATCGCACTAATAAACCTGGATATCGATGAAATTACGAAAATGTGCTGACAGCTGCATTTCAGATCCCACTGACTCATTCGATGGTAATATTCTGCTCCTGAATGCTTAATTCGACAATTTTTATGGATTACTTGCAGTTATTCTGGTTCCAGACCGAAATAAATCAAAAGTCAAACGGTTGCTGAATCATTGATGCTTCTCTGCATGTTTCACTGGATTCTAACTGCTGTGGTGAGCCTCTGGCAGATTTTATTGCTTAAAACATCATTTACGGTAAACTAACTAACGTTTTATGACCCATTTTTATACTTTTGTGAGTAGCCCACCATATCGACCAAATGTAACGCAACACTCAGTTGTTACACTCATTTTCGACAAATTCAAACAATA